TCCCGATCGAAGGATTCCATCTCGACATGTATTTATGCGAATTCACCAGACATTGCGTGAGACTGGTTCTCTTCCGAGTGTTTCTGTGCAGTCGGAAAGGGAGGATGTACAAATGAGAAACACTGCGGAATCGTATTTTTGCAGTGGCAGAGCACGTACGTCACCATTCAGGCAACATTGCTTCTGCAACCCAATCCCTCATGATGCATGCCAAAAACTGCATTGCAGCTGGCAGAGGACACTTTGAACAATTACTATAAAGCAGGTACTGTATTTTAGTACTTATGTAGTTGGCTTATAGCAGAATATGCAGTCAGTCATGTTACACCAGCGCTTGCCATTCATGTGTCATGTGTAGTGATGAGGCGTCTTTTACCCTGGACGGTGTAAATAATTTACGAAATGTGCATACGTGGTCCCATAATAATCCACATGAGACAATGGAAACGAAATTCCAAAAGAGATTTTCCATGAATGTACGTTTAATACAGTTATGTGGTCAGCTTATAGCGCAGCCATATTATGTATAGTGCTTGGAAACCCTAAGGACAATTATGACATGGCGAGCGAGTATTTTGTACTTCAAGTTTATGGCTTCACGTCACTCACAATTTAGTTTGATGTTACGTACATTATTAACATTACAGAATTCACATATTCCTGCCAGTTTTAATATGTATTTTGAAATCAACAAGTGTGTAACACCGGTCAAAGTTTGACACTTCTCTGGCCATTATCTCCGTAACCGTTCAACTTTGGACATTGGTGTTTTGGGTTATATTGGCATACTTTAATATAAGGAACACCCTCCCGAAGTTTGGTCCATTCCTCCTGGGACATGCTGTATAGCATCAAATGGTAGGACAAATGATGATAATGAATTGCACAGGATTTAGAAAGAAGAGGTGATAACCTAATTGAGGTGCCATATCACCATTTGCCTGGAAGGACTGAGTAAATGTTAATTTATTATGCCGTAAAACTTTGTTTCTGTCTTTGTATGAAGAGATATCAGGTAAACAAACTTGTACGCTACATGGCTGCTACGTGACTGTTTATTTCACTACAGTATGCTGACTCACAGAGCGCAGCACTACTTACTCCCAATCAATCATACCAACATAGCACAATTTGAATCTAAATTTTGTCCTGTTAACATCTCTCCTCAAGATTATAGAATTCAAAGTAATAAAAGTTCTGACTTCAAACGCGCCATCCACCCATTATAATTGTGTCATGTTAGTTTTGGTATTGTAAAAGTTTCCTCCTATTGGTTATCCACACCACATATATACAGGATGTTTCAAAAGGAGCTTTACAAATTTTAAAGCTTATATAAATTTATTCAGAGGACATACACAATGTTTTGAACTGTCATAATGTAGCAAAACACACCAAGTTTCATGCACGTGGTACTGTAGTACCCAATACCGCCACCGCAAGCGCTTCCGCAGTTGAAATCAAGATGGCTACTTTTACAGGTGCAGAGCGTGCTCGTTATGTGTTTTGGTTCGAAGAAACGAAGTCTGCTACACAAGTTCAAAGGAAATTTCGCACTCAGTATCGCAAGGAACCTCCCAGTAGGCCTACAATTTACTCCTGGCACAAGAATTTTGTTCAGACCGGATGTTCTGTGCGCCATGCCAAGCCACCCAGTTGGCCACGTTTCTGACGCTACAGTGGAGCAGATTAGGGAGAACTTCGTCAACGCGACGTGCGTCTCGGGAAACTGGTGTTCCAAATGTTACTGTGTGGTGAGTGTTACGAAAACGTTTCCACTTAAAAGCGTACAAACTATCCATCATTCAACACCTTACGTATGCAGATAAGGTGGTTCGTAAGGAATTCTGTATGCAAATGTTTCATCGGATACAAGACGATGAGAAGTTTCTGGACTCCATAATTTTCAGTGATGACAGCACGTTTCATGTCAGTGGTAAGGTCAATACCTGCAACTGCAGGATCTGGGGCAGTGAAAATCCACGTATCTCCTTGGAACATGTTCCTGATAGCCCAAAGGTGAATATGTTTTGCGTCCTCAGCAAAGAAAGAGTGTACGGCCCCTTCTTCTTCATGGAGATGAACATTCCAGTATCATATATCTGGACATGCCCCAAGAGTTCCTCATTCCACAGTTAGACGAAGATGACCAAGAAGGATGCAGTCACTTCCAGCAAGACGGCGCACCCCCTCATTACCTTGGAGAAGTGTGCGAGTACTTCAACACCCGTTTCCCAGGTCNTGGTTCGTAAGGAATTCTGTATGCAAATGTTTCATCAGATACAAGACGATGAGAAGTTTCTGGACTCCATAATTTTCAGTGATGACAGCACGTTTCATGTCAGTGGTAAGGTCAATACCCACAACTGCAGGATCTGGGGCAGTGAAAATCCACGTATCTCCTTGGAACATGTTCCTGATAGCCCAAAGGTGAATATGTTTTGCGTCCTCAGCAAAGAAAGAGTGTACGGCCCCTTCTTCTTCATGGAGATGAACATTCCAGTATCATATATCTGGACATGCCCCAAGAGTTCCTCATTCCACAGTTAGACGAAGATGACCAAGAAGGATGCAGTCACTTCCAGCAAGACGGCGCACCCCCTCATTACCTTGGAGAAGTGTGCGAGTACTTCAACACCCGTTTCCCAGGTCGGATTGGTAGAGCGGCGCCGATAGCATGGCCACCTCATTCCCCGGATCTTACTCCCCTGGATATTGTCTTATGGGGATTCGTTAAAGATCAAGTGTTCGTACCACCTTTGCCTGCAAATGTCGTTGAGCTCCGAACTTGAATTACTGCCTCAGTTGCAGAAGTGACGCCAGAGATGCTACGTAGCATGTGGAAAGAGACTGACTACAGGTGGGATGTCTGCCGCATTACCAGTGGAAGTCAAATTGAACCATAACTATCTGAGGTAAAATTCGGTGTGTTTTGCTACATTATGACAGTTCAGAACGTTGCATATGTCCTCTGTATAAATTTATACAAGCTTTCAAAGCTGTAAAGCTCTTTTTGAAACACCTTGTACTTCATTTCGCCATCTTGACTGGATCTCTTCAACAGATGCCTCCCTCTGACGCCTAACAATTTTCCACGAAAAAAAAAGCGAACTCCCACACAAGTCAACGAAAAAGCTCGACAATTTCACACAACACACTTCAGGGCATAATATTTGCTGCCTGGGCCCATAACCTGTTAATTTATTATGTTGGAAAACTTTGTTTCCTTGTCTTTGTATGAAGAGGTATCAGTTAAACAAACTAGGACCCTACATGGCTGCTACATGACTGTTTATTTCAATACAGTACGCCCACTCACAGAGCGCAGCACTACTTACTCCCAATCAATCATACCAACATAACAAAATTTGAATCTAAATTTCGTCCTGTTAACAGTAAAACTAGTAAAAACCTTGGCTAGTATAGCCACTGTCCTGGCCGAGATTCCAACACAGCGTCCCAAATATATGTCTTGGTTAAATGCAAGTCAGAACTTGATGAGGGAGATAAATTAAATTTCTTAGAAATATTTAGTACGTATCCTGTGAAAAAATGTTTTATCATACAAAATGCACAGTTCTTTATGTCTCTGTTCCTGGCAGGTGACTTAACCAATCTTTGCTTATTGACAAGCATGGTGCTCATACCCATAATATCACTGACACAGTCCACCATTGTCGCACGTCCATCACTACCTGCATCTTTTTCTGCCACAACCATGCTTGACACTATAGGGCATGACAGCCTCATGAATCCATCGAGCACCTCGAGACACGATGCAATTCTCTGTGGTAAGGTTCCTCCTGCAAACCACAGACCACAGATGTTCACCCAGAATGAAAACTCTTGTTTTCCAGCATTCTTTTATGTCTACTGTTGAACCACATGAATGAAACTGGTAACACTACTGACTGCACTGCAGTTCCTCTCAAATATCGAGCTTGAAGAAGGATGCTCTTATGTCTGATGGAACAGTATGTTCAAAATGATCCTGCTCTGAGAGGTAAAGGTCATGCCATTGCTTTGCTCTGGATCCCTGTTCTAATCATACAAGTACAACACTTCATTCCCAGACATTTCAAAGCTATTTCCTCCACTCATCCTTCTTGTACAAACAATAGTCACTTTTACTTTTGTTTCCCTCTACACTATCCAAATCCCAACCAAATTGTAATGGGAAAAATAACTCAACTGCAGTGTACCATGGCAACCCAAACACAAAGAATATAATGCATATAATTTTTGGGGCATAAATGAATAACTCATCCTACAGATGATGACTGATAAAATGATACCAATACATGTCTGTGACAAAGTTTTCATTGTCAGATTCCCTGCCAGAAGCGAATGGGAAGATAGTTTCAACCTAATAAGAAAGGGGGACCAGTCTGGTAAACAGATGGTTCCAAGACAAATGAGGGCACTGTGGCTGGGGGGCAGTGAGTGATATGGAACGAGAAAAGATCTTAGCTTGAGCTTGGACACTACACCACAGTATTTCAGGCAAAAGTTTATGTCATCAAGACACATGCAGACATGTGCAAAAAGGAGATTAACAACAGATACATCATTTTCATTTCATGCATCCTCCCATACATTATGTACAATTCTCTGTATGATGAGGCTCCAACTATTCCGTAAGTAATATACGTACTATATACTACATTTTCAATATGAATTTAACAAACCTAATACTATTTTTATTATATTTTTTCAGATTAATTATTGGGCCTCCTATACAATTTTATAATGAAACACTGAAATTTACTATTTGTCGACGGATACGT